AGAATTATTGCTAAAAATAAACCAAACCAGCAACGTCCACCTTTCGTTGAATTTTCATTGAATTCTTATTCCGTAAATGGTGAATATTTTGGCACTGCTCATCCCATTTAAATTAAAACCACAACAAATGGCTTATCGAGGCAAATCGTTAGCATTTCTGTTCACTAGACGAAACTTTTTCAGTTGCATTTTTGTTGCACTGCTAATTCAGATTGTAAGAATTACTCGCCAGCGAAACGACCACTTCCATAAACCAGTTCGTCTGGTTGTTGGATGGATGGTTCGAGTGTTGAACAGTTGAAAATATCTTATGAAGAAGTGGAACAAGCAGTAGATTGTTACGTGAGGAATGCAACAAGAAACAGCATTTGACCCAAACAGGTGAACGGACGCGAATTCATCATATGAATCAAGTTTATCACTGATCGTGAGGCAATCCATCAAAATTTTCATACTTCTTCCTCAGAGCTATCTGACTGTATTGACGACGTCTTGAAGGTGAACTGTGCGGTTTTGTGCGTGTCTTCAATCATCACCTAATTGGAAACGTCGCGTTTGCATTTTGATGTTCCTGAGTTAGGTGCAGCATGTGCACAAAAATACAAAAGAAACTAGAGTACAAGTGTAGAAAATGCGATGAAGTTTTTGAAAATTTCGAGACAGAAAACAAACGAACCAATAAACCACCACGGCTCCTGATTGTGTGTAATTCAGAGTAGCGATTGGTGTTATTCGTTGATTGTCGTCTAGCTTGAAACTCATCGTCAATGAAATTTTGAATACAAGCAATGTAAAATATCAATGATTTGCAGAAAATTTCTCCAATTTTTTTTAAGCACTTAAACGATGCCAAGTAAACAACGACTCCATTGCCGTAATATTTGTGTTCGTATAATGGAATATTTCCGTGTCCGACTTGTTGCAATATATTGCAAGCATATAAGTAACGGCTAAATTCTCATCAATAAACAAGCGAATGAATCACTGTTCTCTATTCTAAGCCTCTAAGTTGACTTCAGTTTAAATGTCCTCAACTGAACACCTGTCAAGTCATTCAACAAGCCTTAATGGATGACAACCAATTGCATAGACTTGCGTATTCGGAATCAAAACGTACGTAGAATATATTCGAATACTGCAAATAACTGCAAACCGATGCATAGTTCTCAAGCGTAATTGAATGCATATGGAAAATATCACTGCGTCAAGTGATGAGATGTGCCTCAAACATTCATAAGTAATGAAACGCAAACCCGAACGCAATATAATCATGAACGTTTCATTGACGCAAACAAAATTAACTACTGAATGGAGTAGTTGCGAAAATATGATTGACAGCACAGGCGTAACCATTTTTCATTCGAACATGAGACAGCTGCAATAAAACGCTGACTTGAACGAGTGTGGATCCACTTTGCTTTGATTCGTTCTATGTCTCGATCTGAATTCATTTGATCTATTGAGGCAGACTGCAATAACGCATCTAGCGGACGGGCGATTCCTTGGATATTGATGTGTTACGGATCGTACTCAGTGCTTCAAAGCGGTTTCATTTCTGAATGAATTCGTTTCTACTGTTGCCATTTATTTCGTCTCTAATTCAGTGCCAACAAGGACGAATTGAAAAAATTGATTTTTCGTTGTATTAAGTGATTATTTGCAACATCATCATCACCAACTATAAATGATCACTGTTACTAAGTGATGAATCTAGAACAGACAGCAGCAGCAGCAGCAGCCACATTCAAATAATCTCTGCAAATGAAGTTTCAAACAGCCGTCCGTCACATTATGTCGTCGCGACCGTCATCGCTATATCAGCACACCGTCCTCGATGAAGAAGCGTCTTAAGAACGCAAACGTTGTCCTTCACCGATTGTAAACCGTCCGTCCGTTCATCGTTTTGCCTTCTTGTTGCTGCTCTTCGTTCAGCCACGCTTCTCATGCCCGTCCCCTTTAAAAACTTGACAACAACAATCGCACCGTTCACTTACACTTGATCATCATCATTTTCTCAGACTGATAGTGTTCGTTCATTCATTCCTTCTCTTTCATCTGCCGCTTAATTTCGCTTGTAATATTACTGTAATTTTATTACCGTCTCGAGACGCGTGCCCTGTGAAGAGAACTGACTGACTGCAATGCGATATAATCTTACGATTACATTTTTTGGCCTTTTTCAGTTAATTTTTTCTTTAGATACCCATTTCAGTCAGCAAAATTTATCGGTCTCATGTTGAAGTTTCATTCTGTTTTTCTTTTTTTGAAGAATGTTTAAAGATGATAATTTGTTGCTGAACAACATTTGTGAATGTCGCAGTATATTGAAACATTTTTCATCTGATTCCACCAGATAAGAATCGAAGGTTAATGCTCTCTGTAGCTTCGCTAAGTGTTGCGATGCTTTCAAACAAACAATTTCCTCATCAGTCTGACAAAGAACAAAGAACATTTCCACCGTATGAAAATAGATAATCGCTTAATTCTTCTATTCGCACCACTTGTCGTCTGTCCATGTTCCTGGTCGGGTCGTATCATTTTGGTATATCCATTCTTTTGTGAGTGGAATTTAATAGCTGTCAAAAGCTGGTCACTTTAGAGTGCTGGAATTTTTCGTAGAAGTGCAGCTTCTTTCTGCTCGAACCACTCTTTGATCTTGCGTATCTCTTTGAAATGCTCATTGTTTGAAGTGACTTGATAATAGAGTCCATTTTGTCTGTNCACTTTGCTGATTCCTTACTGGTCTTTGAAGTGAACCAATAAATTCCATTGCTATCTTTAATTCATAATTGCAAACGGCGAAAAATAAACATAGTTTTCTAATCGTATTAGGGTAGGATGGTTACAAACGGCTTAGACCGGTCACAACCTAAACTTTCGACATTCATCTAGTCATTTGCAATGATATAATGAAGGGTAGAGGTGAACTGTTCAAAGCGATAAACACAGAAAAAGCAGCGAAAGTTTCATTGCTCAGGTTGATTTCTTTCGTCCTCTCGCTTCGACTCATGTCAAAATATTCACCGATTCGAAGGTGACAACCACTTGTAAGCGATATTTTCAACAAATTCGATGCGAGAAAACAGGAACTCATGCAGCAAAAAAACTAGAATTTGCACTTAAGAAATTGTTTATTTCAGTTTTAAAGTTTTGCAAAAAAAAACACTGATTAAAGAACAAAAACGGTTCCAGCAAACATAAGTTAAAACGCTTTAAATGCAATATTCAACGGCACACAAGACTCAGTGTTTATTTTCGTTCCACATTTGGGGTTATGAGCATGCCATGAAACAACGCGAGAAATCTTATTAGAGTTTGATTTCAACTGAACTTAAGTTGACTGAAGCTCACATATCTATTATCTTCGGGAGCATTTGTGCTTACTGTGATGGCGATTTCATGTACGTGCTATCGCAACCAACTCTATCACCAATGTAAAAGTTTTCAAGTAGCACATTAGAGCAAATTTATGGAACGAATACTGTATCAATTTTGAATTTGATACTAACGGCCGATTGGAGGGTACAGTCACAGGTGCGAGTATTCGTCGCATCTCAAACGCTCAATCTTACATATCTGAAATCCACGAATTGCTTTATGTGTCGATCCATGCGCATCTTTCCTGAATGCTCTGCGCTCGTAGTGCTCCTTATGCTGGTCAAACAGTGCAAAAAATTTAATCATATTTTTTCCAGGTATATCAATTCGTGCGCAGGAAATGTCAATGCAGTCAACTGTGGAATGTCAGCGATATTTTGGAATCAGTAAAAAAATTCCTAAAGGTCCGACTGATTCTATTCATTCGATTGCACTGCTCGTTAGATCATTGTTTCTCGATGATTTTGCAGAATTATTGAAAACTCTTTCAGAACTGCGGAATTACAAAACGAAAAGAATTTTAAAATTCTCAGTTTTCTCACTATCGGAATATAAATTTCCATGTTTGGTATGCACTTCCTATGACTTATTCCCACACTTTTTCGGTTTGGCTTTAAAATGCCATCAGTTCTAATGATCCCAGTTTCAAGTATTAAAATTAATGCTCGTCCAGTTCAGTTGCAATAAACTGGTTCGATTTCAATAAAACTTTTGCTCACATCTTGTATTCGTTATCAAATTACGTAGACATAATAAATTATGGTGTGTGCATCACTTATTCGAGTGAACACCCAAGCCATCTTTTACACAGTTCGATTACTGTATCATGTCGNTTGTGCTGTAGTGAATGTGCATCATCACCGTTAGGAGAAAAGTTGTTCGCAACATTACATCATCAGCATTCATTAATTGAGCATTACGGTATTTTTGAGTGTATCATGAAATTGTGATCTGCAGATGTGAAACGCTACTGTGGAATGTGTCGTCAGCATGGAGTGATGATTGAGACAAAGGGCCATAATTGCAGCTATAAGAATTGTGATTGTTCAAGGGTGAGCATGGAAATTCCATTCGTGAAATTTATGTTTCCCAAACTTTTTTTTCATGGTTTTTCACAGAGTAACTTTGAACGATTGCAGTGAATTGTAGAAGATGGCAAATCATTTTTAGTTGATTTTCCCCGTAATTATTCCGTAATTATTCAGCAATATTTGCACTAAGCTTGTTTGATCACAAAAAGTGGTTCGCTTGACAGGCGAATTCTTAACAACAAATTGCTTGATCAGTTTCTTGATTTTTCGTCAGCTTTTTCGATTTTCGTAAGTAGCAGGTTGTCAGTTGACATAGGGATCATGTTCACTCAGGCTGTTGAAATGAAGGGAATGGCGACCTGTCGTTCGACGAGGAAATCGTAGAGGCCTGAAAGCCACTGTTCTGAAAGACTTTTTGGATTTGAAATCGAATAGTGTGCGTTGATTGAGATGATTCATGTGTTTGCTGTTTACTCGAGTAACCTGAATGCTACAAAGATGTGAAAGAAGGGTTTCTCTTAGCTGTACCATTTCTGCTGAATAAAACCTGGTCTGTTTCAGTGCCTTTTGATCCGTCAACGACGCCGCATAATGAGTACACAGATCAGATTACGAAGAGCCCAAGATAAGAAGTTTCAGCGAACATCAGAGCCAACTGAAGCGGATGTTATCCCCATGAACCGATGCGACAGTGGTGGCGAAAAAATTTCCGTGAGTAATCGCATTATACACAACCCATCGCGTCTCAGTTTTACCATATCCCGAAATAACTGCGCTCCATGAAAACGATGCAGTTTTGCGAGATTTTCTAACATTNAATGCAAATTTAACGACAATTTCTCCAGGATCACAAGCGGCACTGTCGATACGCAGAATGTACATGTGAGCAATGTGAGTTGATCGAGACGAGACGTAAACTGGATCAGCATTTGAAAGGCTCTTCCTCATCCACATCGTCCTCATCAAGCACGCTATCTTCATCCGTCATTCAGACATCATCACCGCTCTCCACAACACAATCAACAACCATTAATAAAAGTGTTATTGAATATGGTAACTATTTAATTAAATAAGCAGCATTCATTAATGCGACCAGCTTTCATTTTTGTTGTCTCCTCACAAACAGCCTGTTGTTTTTCACAAACACTGCAGCAGAAAACAATCAGAAGATTGAATTTCTGAAAACGTTCATTGAATTTGAAATGAGATGACATTTGAGTGATGATTGTCTAGAGAAACTCTGTTTGCAAATCGAACACCGAAACGAGACATTCATCATATATCATTTATTTTGCTAATTTCTCATTATAGAAACTAGTTCTATTCCAATGAAAAACTCGAACATCATTGATCCTTGTGCTGATACATTTTCAACAGGAAATGAAGTGTTAAAAATCGAAAAATCGAATGATTTCTTATCGATTTCAGTATTTTTCACGATCCTCAGGTCAACACCATTACTTCAGATGCTGTTCTCATTAAGAACACTTCCTTGAACATACTTGTTTGACTGAGATAATTCGTTGTGTCCCAAGCTGTTCAAGATTCACGCGGCGATTTTTAAAGAGCTCATCAATAAAGAGATAATTTCATGAAGTTTGAGTTTTAATTGATGAATTCAGCTTCACCGCGGTCCAACTCATCGTGCACATCTGACTGTTCAACACCAGCAAACACAACAATTAAAGCACTCAAAGATGACGAGAAACTGATGTCGCCAACGCTATCAGATTGGAATCCTTTTGGTCTACCCTTCATATTCCCACTCAGTGCTGTTACTACAACCAACCACGAAGTGAGTTGCAATATTTTATCAACGAATTAAAAATCAAATCAATTATGAATCGATGGACCGATCTGTTCGGCAGTTTATTAACGAGAATGTTGAAACTTCTGTGCGGTTTTGTTTCTTTGCGTTGATTTACAGACCTATTAAGATACTTTGTGCACCGTTTTGGGTAGTGAAACCTAAAAAAGATCAAACAAGTTTTTGATATGCGAAAAAATTTGGTAGTGCCATATGCCCGACAGCAATAAGCAATTAATAAATCATGACTGCAGTGGTGATGGCAACAAAGCAAACAGTAACGCTTTCTTGGATTGCAGAATATGTTACTTGGCTCATTGAATGCTGATGCCAGCGCAAGATTGTCACTCGAAGTCGCCTTATCGCACAGCCTCAACTCTTTGAGCAGATGTCATCCAACTGACCGTCAGCCATCCAGCTCAGTGCTATCATGCTCACCAGCGTTACCGTCACCCATCCCCATCGCACCGATGATGCCCTTCGAGAACAGGCCCTTCTTCGCCGGAGCTTTACCGTCGTTACCATTCGAGCCTACAGTGGGCCAGATTCCCGAAGAGATGAACACAATGACTGATTTCCTCAGTAGTGTCCGTCATTTAGAGACTCTCTTTCAACAGCATAACCCCAATTTATTCTACACACTCAACGTTCAATAAACCAATTGAAAAAACAATGCAGCTCGATTGTTATCACTTATAACTCATATTTGCTTTCGTACAATAGGCTTTGATTGATCTGGTTCACTGTTTTGATCTTATTCACCAGATTCATTCATGCCAGAATATATAGGACTTATACAACTATGGTGAATCCCGTCAGATTTCTACAGATAAGAGTCAAAACGGATTCGTCGGAATCTACAGAAGTTTTCAGTTGAAACTGTTTAGTTATATCGTTAGTGCATTTGATTGCTAGTCTTGATTTTGTTGCAAAGTACAAATTTTCATGTGTCGTTCAGAATTTTCTTTGGTGATCAAGCATCATGTACAATTGTAGACGATTTTTTCGCTGCTTCCCTGTTAAATGAAACACTTCAAACTCCAAAAAAGGCTTTATGAAATTTCATATGTGTCTCCTGCAACATCCTTGTACAAAAAGTATTATTCCTTGTGACTGATTTTATCGCTCATGTATCCTTCAACGCTGCACATGTAATACGTCATTCACATGTTAATTTGGATAAGTGTCACATTTAATTATGCCATCGAAGTATTTTCCCCGTATAAATCTGACTTAACGCGGTTCCGACGTGAATGTCTTACCATTCTGGATGGGAATTCTAAGACTGATCTATGACGGATCAGCAAAATCGCTCTATACAGATATTGTGATGCTCACATTGCTGAGTGGTATGTGGCAATAAAATTTCGAAATTATCAGTTCAAGAAAGGACACATTCACTGGAGACAGTTTCCGTTTTTGTTCTTCTTCTCAAAAATTACCAACGATTAAAATTCTTTTCGAATCGTGAAATTTTGGTTGAAGTTAAATGAATGTCAAAAACTCTGATTTTAATCGTTAATTAAGTTTACTGCGATGTTCGAGAAAAAACTGAACAAAACGATTAAGAAGTGTTAATTGATAGATATGGCTCCATTTTTGGAGTGTGCAGTGAATGGACGTTTTTTTTTTGTTCGATGATGGCATCAGTTTGTTACAAATTAATTTTCAACATTGTGCATGCACTTTCGCCATCAGGGTAGAGCAAAGGAATAAAAACACTAAAAAATGCATGACCGATGTAATTCTGAAAGTGCGCAGAACCGGTACGCAACAATCAATTCAAGAAAATATGAGCGTTTTTCTCTCCTTCACTTAATCGACAAATAAGTTCGAATGGAGACGAGATATTGAACCACTATTGTAAAATTCGGAAATCATTCAACATTTTAACATTCTTCACAACGGTTTCGCTCAAAGAGAAGAAACGAACGATTCAACGTTTCAAACGTTAAAGATCACCAATTCGTGTACTGCGGCACCCATTATTGTCAGTTAAATCGTCATGTCACAATGAAATGCCTTTTGCGCTCATAGCAAACATCCACTAATGGGGAATGTTTCGCAATTTTAAATAAATGACAATGTTAAACCAGAGCGTTGCACTACCTAGCATGGATATTCGATTCTGCCCATACAACCAACACTAGTCCTCGGCCTCCAACATCCCGTTACCTACCTAACTCTGTTTAAAATTCGTGTCCGTTCCAGTTGTTCAATATCTCTGGTTTAAGTGACAATGATTACAGTTGCTATCAGGCAAANCATTCAGATCGCTCGTCTGTCTGTCAGTCGTTTTCGTTGTCCTCTTTTCAGCAACTCTTTGATCTCGTAGGCTCATTTCCTTTTAAGTCATCTCTACCGTATACAAAAGTATTCCGCGTTTCTCCCAGATGTGTTGTACCGAATCATATTACTATCTTAACGGTTCTTTCAAAGAAATACATCATTTTCACATCCTCCAGAAGGACATCCTGAGGTCCATTCGAAACTTGAGGAATGGAAATCTTCACTTCAACTTCCATGTAGAATGTGTTCTATAATATTCCAGTGTGCAAATGATACGAAATATGTGCAAGATAGTTCTAAGTATACCATTTCATCAGTGTTGAAAATGATTACCAGTTAATCTCACATTATGAAGAATCTTTATAAATAATATCTGGAGCTAAGCACGATTCAGTACGCTAACAGATTGTACAATGGGCTGACTCATAACAATTAACAATAACAATTTACAAGCAATGAAGCACATTATGAATGATCACATGGGAATGTTGGGTGGACAATTTTGCAGAAACGAATGATATCAACGTATTGATGTGGTCATCAGTTTGTCAGGTTGTAATTCTGCAATCAGATAAGTTGCCACCGGGACCGGATTGCTTGAATCTAGCCTGGATGAGTTTAAGAAGCTAATAGCTAAGAAACTGACGAACTCTACAGTAATCTCGGTTCAACTGATCATTAGAAGACGTCAGACTAGGATTTCTTGAAGGTTTCGAATTCGATCAACTTATTGCACTGGGGCATAGTTGCAAGCACCTATCTCGAAATGTTGAAAGGACCCTTTCGAATGACGCTAACAGCTCCTCAATAGAAAATCACAAGCCACCGACAAAGAAGTCCTATCTCGGTCAAACTCCGAAACATATCGATCTCTCAGATCAGATCAGGTTTGAAGTTGAAAGACACGAAAAAGAATTGTTGCGACGATGACAAATGTGAATGTCCTCCCATGAACACGACATAAATGTACGTTAGATATGTTGGAATGACATGAAAGATTCACTGATTGACCGATGACCTCTCACTTATTATAATACACGAATCGATGGCCGTTCCAACGAGGAGTTCCTGCGTGAATTTGGCACTGAAGATGCGTCACTTTCAGCTACCTGCAAGTTCCATCATTTTCATCTGATGAACGAATTTCGAAAAATACCTTCATATGACACAGTCAAACTTTTTATGCTCCCTTTCATCCGATGAACAAGAGAATTGAATTGTTCGTTCGTTATTTTCACTAAAAGATTGCAGTTTGAAATCACTTACAGCTGAAAATCATGCGCTTTTCAATCACTGAACGCAAAAAATTCATATTTTAGAATTAATTGGCAATGGCAATTTGCATTGTAGTTGTGACTTCGGAATCCTCAATCTCTGTCCTTACTGATCCCAACTGGATGACGTAAACTCATACAGGATGCCAATTTTTCAGAGGATATCATTGGGAATATTTTACATATGATGTTAGCATAACACTTCAAATATTCACAGTTCAACTTTGCACTTCATTGATTCTGATATTAGTAATTCAGAGAATAATTGTTAAAAATTTTTTGACAGAACTTTTCGATATCCATTACGAATGTGGAATGGCTGCAATGTGACACATATTTTTCGTGTAAATGAGTGCTGCTAATGCATTCACGCCATATTCCAAACCGCATTCCATCAATTGAATAGTTGTAATGTTTTATACAAACCTCATTATCCTCTTCAGCAATTGTAGGCATCGGTTCAAAGTTGGGGATATGCACTGAGGGTATACTCGTGCGAGGTTGTCTACGATAGATCGGTGCTGTTTTATCGCACCCACTCGCCTCCTTCTTCTTTGCCTGCGCTGACTTTGAAGCATCTGAAAGTCAACTTTCAAAATCCAACCAGAAAACATAAATTGGTGGCATTGATTGGAAGTAACTGAAGTTGGGATGTCTGATTTTTTTTTGGAGGAATATGAGAATTTCTAGCCTATATNACAAATAAGTATAGCGTGATTAGTTTCTGTCAGCTGACAGTAACGATCAGCTTCCATCAAGCAAAGTAATTATGAATGCTATCTAGATACATATCTATTGTTGAATTTTCTGAATAAGTCCACTAAGGACTCGATTATTTTGTCGTTATTTAAGAAAACGCAAAGCCTGAACTGCTTCGTCTGTTCACATGAAAGAATGTACCGTCAACAACTTCATTTATCAGCTCATCTAGTAGCTTACTTGCAATAGGATGAACCTCCTCAGCATCAAACTGATTCTCAATTCAGTCGAGAAAGGTGAACAAGTTATATCATACAATTTTGTTTCCAAAGACGAAGCGTCAATATAGAATTATATCAGTCAAGCCAAACTCACCTAGAGCACTACCATTCAAGTCAGCTATAACACCACCATATGTAAAACTCTCTCCGGATCTTAATTCATAAAATGCAGCTCATATATTTGCGACACTCAGACTGAATTTTCTGAAGTGATATTTCGAGAAAATCGAATGACGCACCACTGTTACTGAGCAGATTAAAAATCCTTCTGAGCAAAAGATTTCGTTTCATGTAGAATAAATACGAGATACTTAAGAGCACGATCAGGAATACGGCTGTTACCACCAACACAATCCCCCAATCGGTTATCAGTGAGTGTTCTTCGTCTGAAATATCAGAAACAAATCGATGACATCTAACTTCTGATCACTTGCAACAAACAATTCAAATTGATATCAATGATTGCAATAGTCTTCTTTTTTTTTTTCCATTATCGCTATAAAGCACTAGCTAAAGTCTGTTCTCTTGTGGATCAGCATGATTCAGCGTATACATATGATCACAATTCATTTGACAGAGTCAGAATTGAACTGGATATTCGAATTGTAAATTTTCGGGTTCCATTCAAACGAAACAATGGGAAATGACACCACCTGAGGTTTGATGTGCCTAAATATTTGACCCCATCATTCATGCGTTCTTCGCGACAAAAAATCGAAGTGATTCAAGCTAAACACTCACCAAAGGCTGTGGATGTTGAATAAAGTTTGGCAGTGAATCGTGTTCCAGGTGCTTTGTTCAGTTGTGTTGTGTAAAAATCCAGTGACAACGCTGGTGTGGGACTCTCGAAGAGGCAACGATTTGACGTACAACTGCAATTTGAATTCAGTGATGCAACTGGACGGAATAATTGAAATTCCGAAATATTATCGACCAAATTTAGAATAATGATCGATTTCAGGACGAAAAGAGCGAAAATGAACTAAGGTGAGTACACGAATGTTTTTAGTTAAAACTAAATCGTCGGGCGAAACATGGATTCATTTCAAAAAAGCGGTATATCTGCCTATCAATAATGCTTTCAGATCATCGTCAGCATGATCACCACAAGCACGAGAATCATTCGGTTGGTATCAATATGAAGTTGAGCGATATTTTCGACCAAATAAAAACAAGCTTTTGTGAGAGAACAGGTTTGCTTGTGTAAGCGCAAAGTGCATGGACTGTTGTGATATTTTTGTGCAGAGGATTAGCGAAATCGCAGGAAATTTTACGAAACTTTCGAATTTTTTTTCTGAAATAAGAACATTACGGCAAATTTTCCTTGACCTAATAAGCAGAGATTGTTGATCATGATTAGGACAATCAAACCCGATCTCAACCAGCTCTTATTCGGCTTCCATTTCAGTCAATTTCTGAACAGGTTTTTTTCGCTCTTTGAAAGATAATAGATTTTGTGGCCTCGCTCCCCCGTCTGTTTCGATGATGCTCAAAACATTTTTACATATTCGGCCAACTACTGAGTTTCTGCTTCTCATACACATTTCCAGAATTAACAGTATTATGGTGCATTATCAGATGCTATCGCTGAACGAAAGGATTGAATCTTAGGTGCATATATCATTCAGCATCGACACTGATTCGAAATAACTCGATAAATAGATGTTCATGAAAGTGCCCGGATAAAATCAT